ACACACACACACACACACACACACACACACACACACACACACACACATACACACACACACACAAGGCCCTGAACAGCACAATGCATTAGCTTTCAACCGCATCCCTTTGAAGTGACAGAGCATTTCTGTATTGACTCACAAACCACCACTCGATTCAGGCATCACACACATCCTTCTATGAAAAGATACATTTTTGCTCTTCTTTTTACCGAACTGTGTGAGAATCTGAGAGTCTTGACAGAACTCATTCAAGTCTTTAAAAAAGTGACAAACAAGGGCTCTTGCTCCTTATAAAGTCCCCCCCTCCCCCACCCCTTCTCAAATCCCTCTGATTTCAAGTTTCTGTCTGGATCAAGAGGCTTTTCAGACCACCGTTTATGCCGACGCTCCCGATGTGACCGCGCACCTGCCTCACCCTCCAGCCTCCCACAGGACATGTGGCTCAACCAAAACGGGAAGAAAACCAGCAGAGAAAGGCTGAACTAGAGAGACAGAGAAGGAGGAGGACTTGCTAAGACCACAAGCATAAATCCTCTCTCTTACACACAGTAGCCTGCGCGCACACACACTCTCTGATAAAACCCACTAGCAAACTCTGTCACTCAATTAATGTCTCGGTTTATCTGGTTTTAACATACCTGCCATCCTCAGCTGGAATTAATGCCTCACCTCTTTCTACCCACCCTCCAACACACACATTCCAACCCAGAGTGTGTGGGATTAGGTGCTGTGGTAATAACTTCCATATTGAAAAATGCAAGATTGGGCTTCCGCATGTTCACAAAGACTTTTATAAATAGAATTGCCTTACACTTTGTATATATCTCCAGACTGAAACCGTGACTGTTATTTTTTTAGTTGTATTTATCATGCTTAAATACCAGCATGCTGTTTTATATACTATGTATATATGTTTTTTTTACATTCCATGATGCCGAGCGGAGCTAATGCCTTAAACTGTCTCGTACAGTGTTTTGCAGTTCAATTGGTGGATTGGAAAGTGCTGACAATCCGGTGGCAGATATTGCTCTCTTGCCCGCCAGCGCCCTAAATCCCCTGTTAGGAGGAGCGCGGTGTGAAATCCATTTACAACAGATTCCTGCAGAAAGCTTGTCATCTCATTGAAAAAGATCCCCCTGAAATATGGGAGAAGCCTTCACTGTAGATGTAACAAAAAAAAAAAGGATGATATTCTTCTCTTGCCATATTTCTCTCCCATTTCTTTCAGTTCAGTCTGTTTCTTTGTCTCTTGTTCAATGTCCTGTGAGAACGAAGTGTCTCCTGGCAGTAAACAAAGATGGCTGCTCTGTCACAGAAGGGTTAATCTCTCATAAAAGGTGTCGGAAGATTTCATGCAGCCCTGGTCCCCGGGGCATGGGAACACTAACAAGCGTAAGTGAGGGGTTTATCATGTCTTTTATATCCACGCGAGTGTAGCTGCCACTGCACTCAGGCCCTGGCAATGCACCAAGCATTTAACCTATGACTGACCTGTTCAAACAACACAGGCTGGTGCATCAATCACATTAAATTACTCTGCTCTCACTCTGACCAAATTACGCACAAACTTTCTGCTATTGTTCCGGTCTGCAAACTGCACCCAATGCAGCCCTAAAATGCTGCGTTTATTGATAATCTATACATATCAAATCTTTTTTCTTTCCCCTCCGCAACAGACGCTCCGGCTCCAATTTCTGAATACAAAACTGGAAACAAAAAATTGATTGCTGCAACGACTCATGCCGTGTCTCCGCGAGACTCCCGAAGACACTCGAGCCGCATCGCCTCTGGAGTCGATACCACGTCTTTTGTCTGAGGAGAAAGGTCGCAATAGAGCTGCTCTTGGAAGCAGCGTCATCATAAGTGATGACAAAAGAGTCTCTTTTGTCATCAGAAAGCCAACTGACAAATTAACTATTTAACCAAAAGTGTTGTCCGACGGACGTAGTGTTCTCTGTCCTCCGCATCGAGCCCGCAGTGTAAGCCAATCAGAAGTGGTCCTGATGAGAGTGAGTGTGTGAGACCGTGCCTCACTATTTTAGCTCGGCGTGCCTTTGTGTGCGGCTATATGTCAAACAAAGGGGCTGCTACGACTGCCTGCCAGCCGTCCATACAACCGGGCTTGGTGGGGGGTAGGTAGGACAGAGATGTGGCTCTCTGTGTGGATCGGGGAGTGTGGGTGAGAGGGAGGGGGGTGCTGTCTACAGGGAGCAACCAGGCGTGTGAAAAAATACTCCTCCTCTCTCCTTCATCCTGACTCCTTTGTGCTCTTATTGCTTTTATTCCTCCGTCTTTTTCCTTACGTTTTTGCCTCAACTCCACGACCCTTTGCCTCTCACCCTCTTCTCTTTCCAAAGCCCCCCCCCCCTTCACGCTCTCCCTCTCTGTCCCCCATATGTCATCCCAACTCCCAACACACAGCCAGCAGCTAATATTAGCCCGCAACAAATTATAATGTAAAGTTTACCGCCCATTACAGCTGCTTTTGGAGACAATCTTTGATATGGAAATGCCGCCGCCG